TGGCCACACTGCAATCCCTTCTCCTCCATTCTCCTCTCGGGATCTCGGGCACGCACGCACACGTGCCCGGCGTGAGTTTTAAGCCACCAGGTCTGGGACGTGAACCGTGGTCGACTACATGGGAGTCCAGCGACATAGCCATTACGCTAACCGCTGGTCCCTATAGCTGATTTTTTTAAAAATGAGGTTTTTGCCATAGGGCACATGTACTCTCCAGAGAGACAGAGAGAGACAAAAAGTGAGAAATCACTCCCCACCCCCACCCCCCCAGAAGAATGGCTACACCACAATCCCTTGTTCTCTCTCTATCCTCTCTTGGGATTTTGGGCATGCACACACATGTACCTGGCATGAATTTTAAGCCACCGGGTCCAGGACTCAAACAGTGGTCAAGACTACATGGGAGTCCAGCAATGTATCCATCAAGCTATCTGCTGGTCCCTCAATGTGATTTTACTCCTCACCTTGGATTCAAACTAGGATCTTACATTTATTTATTTTTAGGTTTTTGCCATGGGATGCATGTGCTTACCAGAGAGAGACTGAGAGACAGAGAGAGGGAAAGTGAGAAATCATCCCCCATGAATGGCCATGCTGCAGTCCCTTCTCCATTTTTCTCCCTGGATTTTAGGCACACACACACACACACACACACACACACAGTGTGATTTTCAAGCTGCCAGGTCCAGGATTTGAACTGTGATCAATTATGTGGGAGTCCAGTGCCTTAACCAACATGACTCCTGCTGGTCCCACATTTATTTATTTTTAGTATGTATTTTTTAGTCGTTAAACGGTACCTGGGTTCTCCAGAGAGAGACACAGAGGGAGAAGGAAGGGAGAAAGCACCTCCCATGAAGAATGGTCACGTCACAATCTCTTCTCACCCATTGGGATTTGGGGCACACGCACATGCACCTGGCATGTTTCCCAAGCCGTCAAGTGTCTGGGACTCAGGGTTGGTTGAGTGGGGTCCAGCTGCCTTAACCACCAGACCACGGAGCTGGCCTTATATCTCTTTAATCTAGGATAGTTCATCAGCCTTTTTCTTTGTTTCTTTGTGTCTATGTCAGTGACATCTGTAAAGTGTCCACCCAAGTTATTTACCAGACTGTCTCTCACTTTAGTCTATTTATTAAGATTAGATTCAAGGTAACCATTTTTTTTTTTTAGAGGTTTTTGCTATAGGGCGCATTTGCTAGCCAGACAGACAGAAACAGAGAGACAGAAAGAGAGAAATCACCCTCCAGGGGGGATGGCCACACTGCAGTCCCTTCTCCATTCTTTTCTCGGGATCTTGGGTATGCATGTACAAGTGCCCAGCGTGAGTTTTAAGCCCGGACGCGAACCACGCTCGACTACGTGGGAGTCCAGCGACCCTCAAGGTAACCATTTTGACAGGAATACTGAAGAAGGGGATGTGACCTTGCCAGTGTCTCACATCAGGAGACAGGGGTGCCAGTTTATCTTTTTTGTTATAGGGTGTGTGTACTTGTTAGAGTGTGTGTACTTGTTATAGGGTGTGTGTACTTGCAGGAGAGACAGAAAGTGAGAAATCACCCCCCAGGGGGGATGGCCGCTCCACAATCCCTTCTTCTCCATTGCACACACACTTGCCCTGCGTGTTTTAAGCCTCCGGGTCCAGGACTTGAGCCACGATTGACTACGTGAGAGCCCAGCAACGTAACCATCAGGCGATCTACTGGTTCCGACACCTCAGCACTTGATTAGCACGACATTCCAAGCAGTCAGAGCAGCTGGAGCACAGCTGACCTGCTTTTCCCTTCTCCCATCACTATTGGGAGCATCAGAGATGGAGCGGGCAGAAAAGAGAATGGCGAGGCTCTGCGGCGATGTCACTCCTGAGGCCCCGGGGGTAGTGTCAGTGGTTGCGCAGCGGGATGCCGTGTGTTTATACCTGAATCTCTGTGTGCACGGCTGTGGCATGTGCGAGCTGCCTACACAGGGATGCACACGTGCAGCCTGCCCTCCGCAGCGTGTTAGCACGCACATTCCATCTGCGCCAACTTTCCAGCTTTGGCGCGTCTGCCCCTTTTCTTCTGAAGCACGTTAGGAGCTGTGAGTTAAGTGTGTGATCCAGAGCATTTCTGCGGGGCTGGTCAGGGCTCTCAAGCGCTCCCCCTGACGGGCCTGCTTGGTATGGTCTACGACTTCCCCTTCCTTTTCTCAGACGGTGGTTGCACCGCCCTGCCACCGCCGGAAGTGCCTGCTTCCCAGCCAGCTCCCCAGGCCTCGCGGTTAGACATGGAGGGGTCCCACCAGCCGAGCGGCTCCCGCCCCGCCCGCGGCCCCGCCGGCGGCAGCCGAGGGGCTCCCCGCGGCATCAGTCACCCTGGCGCAGCTTCTGGAGCTGGTCCAGCAGGGCCGGGAGCTCCCGGGACTGGAGAGACGCCACATCACGGCGACCCATGGAGAGCCCACGGCGTCCCTGCTCCCTCGGAGGCCCAAGCCCTGGGAGGCCACGGGCACGGCAGAGTATCCCCGCGCCGCCGTAGAGCCGGTTCCAGAAGCCTCGCCGACCCTCGGGTAGAGGAACCCGCCCTGGCGCAGCCCAGCTCAGCGGAGGCAGGGGCTGCGCCTTCTTAAATGGCACGCACCGGGTTCTTGCAGTTCGAGGTCGTTTGGACGGAAGGTCTGTAAGGCGTGACGGTGTCCTGCTTGAACTCGTGACTCTGGATACCCGCCAGTTATTCGTCTTGTGCACTCGCCCTCACTTGGACTTAACCTTGGGAGCATCATTTGGGTTTTGTGTTTATTACTTCTGGACCAAGATCCTGTTTAAGTCTTGTTTCAGGACTTAGGTAACATAAACAAGTCTCATACTACCCGCGATGCCTCCGTGTTTTCACTTAGAAAATGCTACCTGCTGGGAACAACCCCTCTGTAATGTAGGACGTCAGTGCTTATCTTCGTGTGGTAGAGAGAGAGCTCCGAGCCTAATGGCATCTTGATCTTAGACCATTTTCCCAGACAGACAGTTGAAAGGTCTGATAAAAGCTTGGTCCCAAAATGACTTCAAACATGTATTAATCAAGCCGACACCGGGCGTGGTGGCCTGGTGGTTGAGGCTGTTGGATCCCACGTGCCCAACTGTGCAGGTGGAGTTCCACTGTTTGGGGAGGGGGTGGAGCTTGAGGATAGCTTTTGCCTGAAAAGGAGCTAGGAGTAAGGACTGCTGGGTAACCATCTCCTGTGGGAGGGTGGGGGTGCTTTCTCCTCTTCCCCTGTTGCAGACACACTTTCTAGTACACACACAACCCAATCAACAATAAAAGCCTTGGGAATTCTGGCCCTGGGACCAGCTGAGGTGGGTAAGGGGCTAGAAGCTGAGCAGAGAAAGCTTCCACAACCACTTCCTGAAGTCAGTGTCTAAATAGGCCATGTGATTTCCGGCACCTACTGTGCTCCCTAGAACTAGATGTTATTTTCCCTGAAAAAGTTGGCACACACCTGGAGAGTACGTTGAGTCACCAACAATGCATAGTAGCATACCCTAACCATGGATCACATAATAGGGCTAGAGTTTCCCAGAAATAAGGATGGTCCCAAGACTTGTTCAGGGAATTATCATGGTACATCATACAAAAAGCAATTTTTATAACCTCTTTTATTTGTATAAAATTGTAAATTCTTTTGACAGTGATGCGAAACAGACCAGACTTACAGGCATGAGTGGGAACACTGACCCCATTTTGTACTGACAGATGTGGGAGGCACGCCCCAGGCTTCCACGTCTATAGCGTTTTCTCATGACTGATACATTATCTTAAATTAATCTGATCTCACAATACTTGACAGTGTAAGGGTAACAACTCTGGAGCCAATCAGCCTAATTAATTCTCTCATAACTTGGCACATTTTAAGGCACTGTTATCCCCCTAAATTTCATAGCTATGTTTGAAGGCCTGAGCCAAAACTGCAGCATGGATGATCTGAAGGGACCAGGGAACACAATGGTTAAGCTTTAAGTTGGCCTCAGCTCGGCACATGCTCACCAACTGCTGAGCTGGCAGGCTGAGGCAACTAGTCAAGAAAGCAGAGGGAAGGCCCATCAGCAGCAGACCCATTTTTCCCAGGACCAACACTGCCAGAAACCCTGCGGCTGCTGGCCTACTCTCCCACTGCCAGTAGGGCAAGAGTACTTCTGGAGTCTGGATCATGCAAGAGAAATGGTTTAACCAAGCTGCTTGTCTGATACGCCAACATCACCCATGCTAAACCAAGAAAATGGTTCACTCCTTCCCAATCTGGGTTTTAGGGAGACAGCTATCAAGGAAACCAGGAAGTCCCATCTGAGGGGGGAATGCTGGGTGCCTCCCGAGTTACAGATGGTACAGGGGGCAACACCATTTGCCACTGTCCTAGGAGAAAACAGCAAACAGGATCGAAGGGAAAAGCTGTCTTGGTAAGGTATATTCTATCAGGCACAAGACCAGGAGACTAGCAAGATCAGGGCCTGGTGACCAATCCCGGTAACAGCAGGACTATGAAACATTCAGGCGAAATTTTGGTATATATGTGTCTTATTGACAGAGGGAATTTCTCAAATGCTGAGATACAGAAAAAGACTAAGACAGCTAGAGGCTAGACAAAACAGTCATCACGCTAGGGCTGTCAAGTCTGAGAACTCTCAGAGCTGTCAATAAGTTGGACACAATCTCATGGTAGAACCACCAAGCATTTGTCTTTGTGCTTCTTTAAACTGTATTTTAATTTTTTTCAAAACAAGGTCCTAGAAACATCCAGTTTCAAGTCTGCCCCAGGCTTGGTCCACTCCTGCGGGAATCTTGGGGAACCTCGTACAAGTTTGGGTTATCCGTTCACCAACTATGAAAGCCCAGGATAGATGTGACGAAGCAGGGCTCCGTCCTCCGTGCCATATG